AGCCTCCTTTATTCAGAAATGAAGTGGACAAAGATGTCTCAATCAGGTAAGTCTAGTTATGCACTGGAGCTTTTCTAAGCACTGCCCCTGTCCCTACAAAGACTAGAAGACCATGGGCCTTCCCCAGATCAGAAGGCAGATGATGTGGCGTTTTGAAATTTTTTGACACTTTTTGACACTTATCACTGGCACCAGTGCATAGATAAGTATTATGATATCATAATGGCTATCATAATCAGATGGCAAGGCTGAGATTTCTACAGAGTGTAGGAGGTAAGCATTTGACCTCAAAGTTCCTTCCAGTTCTGCCAGGCACCCAGGAAGGAAGGGAGGAGGAAAGGATTCCCTACCAAGCAGCATCTACCCTTCTCTTTTCCGAAGGCACATCTACAAAGAGTCTACTTAATGACCTTTAATACCACATATGGCCCCCTAATGGGGAAGAGGCCCATCCGTTCTCTTTGGTAATGGGATGTGTTTGCAGGGCAGACACCTTCATCACACGGGGTCCACTGCAGCTGGCGGGGCGGCCAGCTATGAAACAGGACTGCATAGAGAGCCATAATCTACACAAGGCTAATGAGGAGCGACCTGGCCTGTGTTCTGTGAACACAGTGCAGGACAGGCCCATTAGTTATAGACCAGAGGGCACTGGGCCCAGGCAGCAGCGGTTCATCTTCTAACATCGTGTGTTGCTTAAATCATCTCTGAATTACCCTATGCATCCACAAATTGCTCATTAAGGCTTTCCTGTCATTCCTCAGCTGCAATGTTCCCTCCTCTCTGAAAACCCTCCAACCATAGAGGCTGTGCCTAGGACAGTACGGGGCACACCACAGACATTTAATAAATAAGAATTTATGCAAAGGGAAACCAGGAAACTTTTGGAGGTGTAGCTATGTCTATTACCTTGATTGTGGTAATAGTTTCATGGGTGTATGCACATGTCCAAAGTCATCAGATTGTATACATTAAATATGTGCAGTTTATATATCAATTATGTCTCGATAAATGTTTTCAAAAATATAAATAAATAAATAGGAGGTTATGTGCCCACCTGCTTTATTAGTGGGTGAGCTGCTCTAGGACAGAAATTCTGGCCTACCAGTCTTCACCCATGTGCCTTGCTTGGGGCTCATGACAGCTGCTCAACATTCATTATTATATGAATGAGTGGCATGCCTTATAAATTATCTGTGGAGCAGAGTCCCTCCTCCCTAGATGTCCAACTGGGAGAGAGCATGGCTCCCTCCCACCATCTCCCAGATGGGTAATCCAGGGGGTTGTCTCAAGGGCCAGGGCAGGGGGTGTGAGGCAGCTTCACCCCTCAAGACAAATTGGTAAATAAGGAGCACGAGCCCGTTTCAAGCCCTAGGGAACACATAGTCACTCCAGAGAGCTGGAGAGGAGACTCTGCACCCACCTCTTCTGCAAAAATAGAAGCGGAGCGAATGTCAGACTCCTCTGATTGCCAAGAGCTTCCCAGATCTGGAATTAGAGGCCTCCGCCAACAAGCCTCCCACCAGAAGGGAGGCCCAGACTGGGCTCAGGCAGCAGCTACTTCCTAGTGCTCTGTTTGGATGTGGATCCACACATGACCCTCTCTCTAAACCATCACCTTCCTACCCTTCCAAAAACACCAACTAAGTCAAAGGCTTATATATTTAAAATAGCTCTGCACAGATATTTTAAATCAATCTTAAAGCAACTTAAAAGGACTGCTTTTCTCCCCTGCCTCTTGACCAGCACATTTTCAGCAGCAGCTGGGTCAAGCCTGAGCAGCATTTTCACCACTGACTCAACATCAAAACACGTCTGGGCTTCCCTCTTCCCATAGTCCTTTTCACTCCTTCTGTGTTGTTTTTTATATTCTCTCCCCACCCCTCTACATGGCCACACGTGCATGTACACACACATCCGTGCTTCTTTTTAAGATATGAGCATACCAGACAACAGGTGTTCTAAACTTAGAGTTGATGGCTAGAATTCAGGGATCATGTACTTGGATAGGGGAAAAAAATCTATGCCTTTATTTCACTAACCTGTAACTGAAATATGTTAATAGCATTCTCTTCCATTATGAACCTAGGTAACAAACTACATTAGTGTCAGGAATACTGGTGTTTTTGACACAAAGAGAAACACATACATTTCATATTGCACCAGGTTGTTGCACTGAAACATCATTCATGCTCATCACTATTTCAAACTTATGGTAGTAATTGACTTCAAGTAGATATTATTATTTAGCATGCTGATAAAGAAGTACATATGGTACTGCTAATTTTTAAATGTAATAACTGTATTTCAGGCCGGGCGCTGTGGCTCACGCCTGTAATCCTAGCTCTTGGGAGGCCGAGGCGGGCGGATTGCTCAAGGTCAGGAGTTCAAAACCAGCCTGAGCAAGAGCGAGACCCCGTCTCTACTATAAATAGAAAGAAATTAATTGGCCAACTGATATATATAGAAAAAATTAGCCGGGCATGGTGGCGCATGCCTGTAGTCCCAGCTACTCGGGAGGCTGAGGCAGAAGGATCACTTGAGCCCAGGAGTTTGAGGTTGCTGTGAGCTAGGCTGACGCCACGGCACTCACTCTAGCCTGGGCAACAAAGCGAGACTCTGTCTCCAAAAAAAAAAAAATAACTGTATTTCAATAATTGCTTTCCAAGCCTATGTGTATTTTTTGTACATTTACAATTATTATTCTGAGAAGAGGTCTATAGGCTTCACCAGACCAAAGATGCCCATGGCACAGAAAGGTTAAGAGCCACTGCAGTGGAGTAAGCATGAGAAGGGAGGATTTGAGATCTTCTCTGGGTCATCAGAGAATGGGCAGAGAACCTATGGATTAAAAGGCAGTATTCAGTGGTAGCAGAAGGCAGGCCCTGGGAGCAGAGGGACAGCAGGGTTATTGAATAGGAGCTCAGGTGGGCTTTGGAGATAGACTAAAATACTGGTCCTATCTAACCAGCAGTGTGACCTTGGGCAAGCCACTTCACCTCTGTGAGTTTCCATTTCCTCAACTATCAAATAGAAATAATAATATACTATTCAATTCTTGTGACCATTAATGGAGAGGGTATATATGTGTGGCAGCAATTACTGCCCAGCTGAATGGAACGTGGCTAGCTCTAGAAGGGCAGCCTCCTCTCCCTGAGGACTTCTGGAGCTAAGGTGTGCTATTTGTTTTGTTTTTGAGACAGGCACTGTCTGTGCCCTATGTGGGCTTCCATAACCTTGCGCTTCAGGGATACTCTGAAGAGCCCCAAAACATGCCTAGGCAGACATATGTCCCCTGCCTCCCCTTCTGTCCCTTGCTCACTGAAACTGGCACTCAGTCCAGGATGCAAAGCAGAGTTCCTGCTCCAGAGCAGAAGAGACCTCAAGGAAAAAGGAGATGTTCCAAATCTTTCCAAAACCGGCAACAGGAGCCAAAGTACCTGCCTCTGGCTTCACAGAACAGCTGACTCCTGACCTGACATCTCATCACTTGGTAAGCAAGGATGCTGTGATACAAGCTGCCCCACCTAGAGCAAGCCAGGCCAGGGGCAGACCCAGGCCTCTGGGCCACTGAGCAAAGAGACCTGAGGAAGGTCATGAGAGACCCCTTTGCATGGCTCTTCTGAAAACTTGATTAAATAATGTTCAAAAGTTCTGTTATAGAAGCAGATAGGCATTCTTTATAAACTACATATATTGATTTTCTTTTGACTATAAAAGATTGGAAAACACAGAAAATGTATAGAGTAATTAAAATCAACCATAAGCCTGGCTCCTAGAAATCAAAAGCTATTAAATTATAGCAAATTTTCTTCCAGTTATAAATTGGGATCACACTTATACAGAGAGTTTTATATTTTATTTCATCACTTAAAAACTCATAGAGACATTTTCAATGTGGGCTGTTAAAAGACACAAAATCATTATTACATCAGACGCTGCTTGTAAAAGTCATAGGTTACTAAGAGATGCAATGGCTTTCCTAAGAAGAGTATTGTGCATTTAAATATAACTTACACCCAGAAAACTGATAAGAGAGCCCTTTTTACTCTTCTTAAAGTATATATAAGAGTAAACTCTCTTCTCTTTAGCTTGAAGAGAATAAAGAGAAGATACTTTTGTGTCCTCGGCAAAGAAGCACTATATGCCATTTCACTTTTTTACATTCTCATATCTTACTTTTCCCCCGATAAGGGGAAAGCTTTGAAAATTCACTACTGGAAATATGGTGTATTACTCCAGAAAGTGCTTAGCAGCTAAGAAGAAACCTCCAGAAAGAAGTGCTATGGCAAGAAGAGCCCTGGACGCGGAAACAGGAAAACACTGGATTCACATGTTAGCTCTGCCATTGTGTAGATCCAAGATCAAAGAACATCAGTTTCTCTGAGTGTCAAGAGAAACACCACCACCCAACTCATAAGCACAGAAGGATTGTGCAGATTAAATAGGACTCTCCATGTGAGAGTGGTTTGTCAATAGTAAAATACGTTGCAGGGTAATAATCACTCATTAATGATATAGTGGCTTTAATAGTATTGCTGTTTTTGTTGCTTAGCTGGCTCGAACCACTCATTGTAGGCACTTAGGGCAGCATCCAACAGCAGGAAAAAGCATGAACTCTGGAGCTAGACTGTACTTTCTAGTTAGGTCAATTATTTAACCTCTCAGTTTCTTCATCTGTAAAATGAAATGATGATAGTACACTTACCTCTTAGGACTCTTGAGAACATTAAAATGAGTTGATTTATATATAGTGCTTAGAACAGTTCCTGGCACATAATAAATATACAAGGGTGAGCTTTAAAAACAGTCAGTGATCAATGGCCAAATACAAGATTGAAATAAACTTTATCAGCTAAAACTAGTAGGCACTTTTTAAAAAAGCTTTCCATAAAAGTATTATCATCATAATCAGAAAGTTGAATTACCAACCTCCATCAGTTTCCCTAGAAACTCTGCCCCCTCCAATCCACCCTGGATTTGGCCTATCCCCTTCCTACCTTCTCAGCATCCTGCTCGAAGAGCCGCAGCTGAAAGCACTGGTCCAGCTTGAGCTTACGCACATGCCACATCTGATGCAGGTGCTGCCTGGTGGAGTGCAGCTTGTCCAGGAGGCTGGTGATCTTGGGCACCAGGCTCTGGAAGTCAGCGCTGCCCGGGATGCAGTTGCGCCCTGAGAAGCCGTCGCTGCAGCGGATGCACTGGAGCAGCCGCTGCCCCTCTCGGTCCAGCTCCTCCACAGGGGCCTTCAGCACCTTTTTCTTGAGCTGTGTGTGTTCATCGATGAGCCGCCGAGAGCCCTCTACGTCCACGGGGAACTCCTTTCGGGCCAGCATCTCTTGCAGGTCCTCAAGGCGCGAGAGCAGGTGCACGGCACTGTTGAAGAACTCCTCCAGGGAGAGCCGCAACTCGATCCACTCCTCGTGGTTGTAGTCCAGGGAGCCGTCGAACTCCTCCGTCAGCTGGGAGGGGTCCACCAGCTTCGTGAGGCCCTCCACAGACACCATGCTCGTCTGGAAGGGACAGACACAGACAGGGAGACTCAGTGATATGGGGATAAGACCAGGGCAGAAATAGGCAGGTGGAAGGAAAAGCAAGGGGAAAGGGTAAGATAAGTCCACATAATAATGACCATGCCCTGCCTAGGAAAGGGTGACTGGGAGACCATGGGCACCACTGGTCAGGAGTCACAAATCAGCCATGGTCAGCAGTTCCTGCAAACTGCTGACTGCTTCAACAAGCCTCTCCACCTGACCACCATGTGCAACCCAAGGAAAACTGCCTTTATATCCTATTCCCTTCATCTTCCCTCCTACCTGCCCTGCATTTACCACAACAGGGATTTATATGCTAGAAGCAGAATCTGGCAGAAAAACTGGCCCAGTGCTTGGGGGTCAGTTTTCTATAGATTTAAAACCAAGGCTCATGGACCAAGGGTATCATTATGGTTGCGTTGATGTGGGTTAACACATGGGCCACAAGCATTTCACATTATCTTTCTGCTCCAGGCTGGGCTCTCCACTTTAGCAGATGCCCTTCCATGGTACAGTGAACAGAACTGGGGCTAGGCGACAGGGAGCCTAGGCCCTTGTTTCTACCTGTGAGGCCCCTACAAGCTCTTGGAGAACAGAGTGGAGAATGTCTGTCTCCAGCAAATGATGGTGCAGACAACCATCCCAGCTTATTAGTAACCATCTTTCCCTACCTACAGGGCTTCAGGCTTCTCTTCTCTCTCATGAAGAATGACAGGCTGTCAAAGAAATATCTGGGTTTGAGTTCCAGTCCTACACTGGGCAAGCTATTTAAGTTTATGTTTATTAAGTCTGAGGAGAGCCTCAGTCTCCACCTCTATTCCTCTCTCATAGGGCTTACTGGGATTAAATAGGTCAATGTGTATAAAGCACCCAGCATGGAGCACATGCTCAATCCCCGTCAGTACTCTGAAAGCTGCATCATTACTTGAAACCTTAAAAGCAGTTTGTTTCTCTGTTTTCTTGCTACTCTCTAAGCATCCCCACTTCTTATCCCTTCTCCCTCCAGCCCCCTCCTTAGACACAGGAAGCTGTTGCCATAGGCAGGAGGGCTGATCTGGGACAGTGGTTCTCAAACTTAACTGCTCATTAGAATCCTTTGGGGAGTTTACAAAAACACCAATGCTCAAACTCCACCCTAGAAATTCTGATTGAATTGGTCTGAATTGTAGCTTAGGCAGGGGGAGTTTTAAAAGCCCCCATAGTGATTCTAATTTGCAGCTACAGACACAAACTCCTGCTAACCTACAGCCTTGTTACTCAAAACATGACCCTCAGACCAACAGCATTGGTGTCGCCTGGGAACTTATTAGAAATGCAGAATCTCAGGCGCTACCCCAGACCTACTGAGTCAGAATCTACATTTACAAGCTCCCCAGAAGGGATTTGTGTGCATTAAACTTTAAGAAGCCCTATTCTAGAGCACTTTGCCCTTCAAATTTGGCTCAAAGTTTATCACTTCCAGGAAGTCCTCCATGATTATACTCACCAATTATTAAGTATCTGCTATTGAACAAGCCTATACTCTCATCCCTGTATCACTTATCACCCCAGTCTGCAGTAGGTATTAAATATGCTGTTTTTAAGATACTGTTTTATAAATATTCTTTTGACTGGGAGGCCCCCACTATCTGTCTTATATCTCTGAGAGACAAGCGTGCTCAATTTGGAGTGAAAGAGGTGGAAGGAGATGGGACATGCAGGCCAGCTATGCTGATACAGAAGTTTCAAGACTTATTGAAAGATTCTTTTCAGTCTCTTCAGCTTATACATTTACAGGCTTATTGTCATTGCCACTGTATAAAACCAAAAAATATAAAAAGCATTTCTGTTTTTATATCAAGCCTAATTTCTTGTGTTATTTACACAGAGTGAGAACTGCCTCCATCAAGTGGTCAGATCACTGTGCTCAAATCACAGCCCACTGGGGACACTCCACTACACATGGGTGCTCCTGGCCCCTGGGGGGCAAGAGTCTGGAATGGGAAGCCGCTGAAAGATTAAACGCAGCTCCGCCTTTTCAACACACACGCACACACTAATGTATACAAAGTTCATCCCACTGCAGATGAGGACCAGAATTCTAAAAAGGGGAACAGCTCAAATTTGGCTGGAACAAAGATGCCTAAATCATTGATTTAATCTGATGTGTTGTCATTAAAACTTCTCAGGGGACACATATGACCTCTGGAAAATTTACTTTGAAAACAACATGTTTTTCCTGATACAAGTAATATATCATCCTTGAAAGAAAACAGAAAACTATAAAGACAATAAAAATCACCCAAAATCTTGCCATCCAGAATAAACGATGACTGACATTTTCACATATCTCAGTCTTCTCCATACATACACTTAAAAAAACAAATTTCATATTATACTGCCCATATTGTTTTATAACCTGCCTTTTACTAAACCATGTATCATGACCATTTGTTGATTATACTATTTTTCTAAATATGGTTTTTAATGATTTCATATTATTTGTATATTAATATCATGAAAATGAATGGATAGTTAAGATACAACCTATACATGTGTGTATGTATATGTATTATATATGTATATGTTTATGTGGATATGTATATATACTGTGTATGAACATATGAACTGTACACTTATAGATATTTTTGTTTGTAATTTCACATAGTTTTAAGCTCTTTGTTTCATTTTTATATTAAGAATATTTGCCTAGAAGAAGAATTACTAGATCAGTGGATCCATGGATATATAAACTCTTTCTAAGGCTTTCAATACAAATTACAAAGTTGTCCCAGTTTACACACCCATGGAAAATGAATCTCATTGTCTAATGAAGCTCTGCATTTGGGGCAACCTCTGAGCCTCTTGTTCCTCCCCAGACTCTAACTGGTAAAGCCACAGTGGCCAATGAATCCTGAAATCTCATCCCTAGACATGTTGCATATTAGAGAGTAGACAGAGAAGAGGAAGTGAGAAATGTGTGGATGGCAGAAGGGGAAGGGAAAGAAGGTGCTAAGAGAGGTCTGGCTCACCTCAAAGATGAATTTGGAGCTGCCAAAGTTGGTCTTCTGTTTCTGCCAGAAGTTGTCAGGTTTGATGATGAGGGCCACATGGATCTCAGCTGGAAAAGCTTCTTGCAGCGTTTTGAGGAGGGGCTTGATGAGGTCCCACTTGGAGCCCCGCATGTCGATGATGACAGTGAAGCCACGTTTGCACACGTCCTCACTGTGGGGAGGTCAGAGGTCAGGCATGGTCACTCTGGGTAGCTGAGACTTTGGAATGCATGGTGAAAAAGCACCCAGAAACCTGAATCTCCCTTGACGTGGACCACCCTTTCAACTTTGCACCAGGTCTCCTGGCCACTTTCCAACCCAACTCAAAATATACTGCCTCAGAAAATCTTTCTAGATTAATCCTGTCTGACCAAAGGTCCTGGCATTCTGCCTTCTCCCAGCACTTTGCAAATAACTCAGCCTTCCTTATACAGATTGAGTATTCCTAATCCGAAAATCTGAAATCTGAAATGCTCCAAAATTTGAAACTTTTTAAGTGCCAACATGGCACTCAAAGGAAATGTCCATTGGAGCATTGCAGATTTTAGATTTTCAGATTAGGGATACTCAAATGGTAAATATACAGCAAATGTTCCAAAATCTAAAAATATCTGAAATCTGAAACACTTCCGGTCCCAAGCATTTTGGATAAGAGACAGATACTCAATCTGTAGTCAACTGCATTTGTTGGGTTGTTTACCGTTTGGGTATTCACAGCTATATTTGCTTTCTCTTTTCATTTTTGTCTCTCCCTCTTCTTCCTAGAATGAACCAAATTTTTCCCACTTGAATTCAAGCTCTCTAAAGACAGGGACCCTGTTGCCTCTTAAATCTGAGATGGAAAATCCTTCACAAGAGTGTTGTTCTTTCCTGTACCCACATCAATGACAGACACTGATACACTTTACCCCCTGAACTCAAACTTGGATCTCAATAAAGAGATCCAAGCTAGTTCTGCCACTTGATTAGAGATGGTACACAAAGCATTAATATTAATAATATGTATTTGCCACCACTATATTTAAAAAATCAGGTCGCTGAGTCATGCTGATCACTCAGAGAAAGCCAAGAGTGGAACTGATTAGAGCAGTGGGTGCAATGCGGCTGTCTCATGCCCTCCTATTATAAGAGTTATGGTATGAAAACACACATTTCAGGACGTTAAGGGAGGACGCTTGATGGAGGCAGTAACTCTTAAAATCAAGGAAAATTGAAAGTGACAGTGACCATCTTGAAAACCAAGACATAAGCAGGCTAAGTGAATCAAAATGTTGCTATATAACTTATCAAGTAGCAAAGTCTAATTAAACACTTTAACTCCAAGAATAGGAAGGAAAGAAATGAAGGTCAAATAGTTATAACATCTCAGTTTGGAAAAAAAGTCTATGTTTTGATATTTTGAGGTCTTTTCTTTCTCTTATTTCTCACTGAGTATTTTTGGTTTACTTAACTTATCCCTTTAGAACTCAAAATAGACTTTGGTTAATTCACATTTTTTATATAAACGCTGGCATATTTCCTTAGGGCCTTTCACTTAATTTCCATTTCCCAGACTGTACTTGATTTAACTACCATGTGTGTTTCATGACCCTCAGATGTGCCTACTACACATCAGTTGCTTACAGAAATTGGCAGTAAAGCCACACTTTGGAGGATTTAGGCCACCAAAAGAAACAAAAACCTTTTGTCAGGCTTCACTCTCAAATCTCAACCAGTGATCAGAATGGTACAGCCCTATGAAGAGTCCACAGCTCCTGTGTATATGTGAGTATCACAAGCACAAGGCAACTTACTTAGGCCTCCCAGTTAGAAAGTTCTCCAGGTGAGGGGACTCTCTCTAGCATGAGAGGAAGGCTGAATATTCTCCACAAATCCTGTATCCCAAAGGAAAGGAGTTACCTCTTTTTCTCTGACACTTACTAAAACAAGTGGCCAAGGTCTTCTATAAATAATTTTCTCTGCCCTCTTATCTAAAAGCAAAGTGACTGTTTCTTAAATTACAGGGTTTCTTTCCCATTCTAAGAGAAACACTTGACAATTACAGACTAGTTAAAATATTCCAAGATCTATATAAGAGATGCTAATGGTAGGAATAATACCCTGGCCTATTTCCTTTCTATCTCTTTTGTGCATATAGTTTTCATACCATATAGTATTTGACTTTTGTCTATAATAGACAGTTATTTTTTCATGTCTAAAATGTTTTTGAAACTGTTATATTTAATGACATATAGTATATCTTATACCTGTCCCATAATTTATTTAATCATTCTCATTATTGCTTTACAGAAAGGTATATCAACTTCCATGTCTACCCTTTACTGTATCCTCACCAGCACTGGTCACTGAACTTTCAGAAGCTTTGCCCATTTTCCAAGGAAAAAACTGTATTGCATTTAAATTTGCATTTCTTTGACTACTAGCTATTGCTTATTCACCAATATATATTTCTTCTGTGAAATATCCATTCTTTTATCCATTTTTCTATTAGAGTTTAATGGTTTTCTAGTGGGGTTTAATGGCTTTTCTCACTGAGTATAATTTAGTTTAGCTTGACTTGCATTTTGTTGCATGCCCACTTATGTCAGGTTCTACAATGTAACTGTGGATCTTGCCTGTCCTTAGAGATGACAATTTTCCTTATTTCTCTGTCCTTCAGGCTCTATCCCTGTTGCCATAATTATGCTGACATGAGACATCTTGGTCCCTAACACCAAATATTCAGTGTTGCTACCAAGAGCTGGAGGTTGACTATCCCAACATCTAGACATATTGGTCAGTAGCAGGTTACATCCTATTAACTAATCATTTCTGACAACTTAAAGTAGAAATCAAGTACTAATATTCTCTAGGGAGTTCTCAATAACTCAGGAGATGGGGAAAGACACCCAGTGGCTGAATGCTGAGAACTAATCTAATTGGTATCTTTCTGTGAAAACAGCTTAATCTGCCAAGATGCTCTGTATTTGGTTTCAAGTAAGGGGCATAGCTGGAGAAGGAGAAAGAACTATTACAGCTTTCTGCCGGCTTCTAGACCAACTTCCTAGCATCTGAAACTCTAAACTCTCTGCCCAAAGGGCTCTTAACTTACTTCCTGAGCTCATGCAAGTAACACCACCAGTATGCCAGTATGTGTACCCCTATGCCTGAAGGGCAGCAAAGGGTTTCTAATTGCAAGGATGTGGCTAGAAAATGGATGTATGAGCTGGGGTGTCTGCCTGCATGCATGAGGCCCCCTGCCATGTAGTGCAGACCTGGGGAGTGGACAGAGAGGGAGGCAGAACATGAATGTGGACTTATCTCTGCTGCTATTTAGGCCTGGGAGCTCAGAGTCATCCAACACATCTAAATTTGAAGTTGGCTTCCTAAGTTGCTGTAAAGATATATTATACAAGATAGGACAGAATGTGTTTAACAGTTTGTTAGCTTGCTACATTAATTTTAAACATCCAAACAAAAGATATGTGGGCACCACAATGTTAGAAGGAGTCCTTATAAGAGGCTGGAGTGGAAGCAGCCTTCAAATCAGGACATACATACTTCATATGTAAAGGTAGGACACTGGATTTATCCTAAAGGCAATGAGGAACCACTGAAGGTACAATTCAGGGAAGGAATGTGATCAGATGATTCAGAAAGATTGCCCTCCAGCTGAGCAGAAGGAGAGCAAATTGGGGTCGGTTGGCTCAGAGGACTAGTGAGAGTAGAAGCAGAGAAACCACCTCCTTAGGTCTTTGTTAAAATGACTCCTCAATGAAGTCTTCCTATTAGAGGACTGCAACTGTCACCTGGCACTCCCTACTCCCCTTTCCCAATTGGTTTTTCTCCTTGGCATTTATATTACCATCTGCATAATGTATTTCATTATTTATTGCCCATCTTCCCTCACTGGAAAGTAACCTCAATGAGGACAGGAATTTTTGTGTTCATTTCAATGCTGGGTTCCAAGTGCCTAATACTGTTCCTGGTGCCTACGAAGACTCAGTGCATTGAGAAAGTAGAGGTAGCAGTTAAGGGTATGGAAACAAGAACCAAACTTCCTCCGTCTGAGTGTCAGCTCCACCACTTACTGTGGAACCTCTCTGTGCCTCAGTTCTACACTGCAAAATGTGAATAACAATAGAAACTACATTACAGGGTTATCTGAAAGGTGAAGTTTGTTAATATGCAGAAAACACTTATAATGGTGCCAGACACATAGTTTGTACTTTGTAAGTCTTGGCTACTAGAGGAGATGCTGTTGGTGCCCCACCTAGGGTCCCTGCATTGACCACTGTGTCTGTCCTCCAGCTCTGAGAGTGTTGCAGCTGTCAGATTATGCCTATGAGCACCTTTGGAGCCCTGCCTTTGTCTGACGGGCATGACTCCTCTCAGAGAAACCTGTCACATCCCCACCCCAGGGCTGGCCAGTTCCTCTCTTGGACAAGTGTGCCAAAGCCCGGCCCCATTGCCTCAGAGCAGAGCAACTGGGAAGTGTGATGCATGCTCTATAACCTCCCAGTCCCCTAGGTAGGCTACAGCTAGACTTTATCTGAGACCACATCCTTACTGGGTCTTTCCTCTTTCCCAACTCTGCTTCTGTCACTCCTTTACAAGTCCTTCCAGACTAGCAGACCCTTAATAAATCATTTACATCCAAATCCTCATCTCAAGAAACATAGCTTAAGACAGTTATTTTTATTATTGTGTTATGAATAATAATGTAAATATAAATGATATGCAGTCAGCTCCCTGTATCCATGGGTTTTGATCCTCACAGATGTGAAACCTGCAGATATTGAGAACCAACTGTGTATGTCATATATATGTGAAATTTGGAAGGAAATGAGATAGATGGTCTGGAGATTAAGAGAAACCTGGGCTGGAAATTTTGGGAATCACACAAGTGCCTGGCACATTGTAGATGTTCAATAACATTTGCTGAATTAATAAATCCATGAAAGAGTGGGAATTGATGAGCTTAGAAGTGAGTGAGATCACCCAACAGAAATGAGGAAAGGAAGACTCACCTTCGGAGTCGAGGATAGAACTAGTGGGAATATCAACGTTTAAGAAATGGGAGAGGAAAGTAGATGAGCCCGAGGAAAAAACACAAAGAGGTTGGAGAGAACCAGGAGAGGCGTGAAGTCAAAGAAATAACGGAGGAGATTTCTAGAAGGAACCACAGTGTCA